TGGTGTGGAAAAGACAGGACTGCTATTGTATTCACTGAAGCGCTTTGTTATTTCTCCTTTGAAGGAAAGAAAATAATTAACTACTTTTAACATGCTTCTGAATCTGACAAAGATTTCCAAAGCCCACAGTTGGCCTAATGTCTTCATAAAGAAAATTAAACATCACTAAACAATGCTAATGTTCTCTGCTTTATTACTTAAAGCAAAAAGCAAAACTCATACAGACTTTATCTAGAAAAAGATAGAACCAACCTTCCAGCGTTGATAATATTAGCATCAGCTCCTGAGCATATATCTTCCACAACGTATGAATTCTCTGAGCAGGATACATTTAAGGATGTATAGTTAGGCTTGCAGACGGTCAGGAAATATGGTGCTTGATATCCTGTTGATAGCTGTATAATATCAGTAACAAGAGCAGTAGAACAAAGACCAAACACATGAACACCTAGGAAATAAAGCAATAAAGGTTGTTAAGTTTATTGTATTTATAAATTAAATGAGTCATTGTGTAAAATGCACTCAACATTTTACAGAGATCTGTGGCTCCTGTAATTGGGCTTGTAAGAATTCAACTGTAGTATAAGATCTTTTTTCTTTATGGAATCTTATTTCAGATGAATTCTTTAATATAAAAATTATTTATGCTTATTTTCTTCCTATGGATACTTAATATTTAGTTTTGATGACCTGATATCCTCCAATATATTTTTTTCACAAAACTAAACTATATTGGAGCTGCTTCTATTTAGAAAACAAATTTTAACTGTCTGTAGTACAACCATCTATTTAAGTGGAGCATATGTGCTCATTCTGTGCTTGGATCTGCCCATTGGAACGTTTTAATAACACAGCTGCCCATAGAACACTGCTCTGAGAACCTGATCTCTCTTTATTATTAGGGACTCATCAGCTGTCAATAACTTTGGTGTATCTTCACACGTTACATTTCTTGAGTACCAAGTCCTCACCACAATTACAAAAATTTTTCTTTGTCAGTGATCTATGTTATGATCCTGTCTGATTAGTAATATCAAATTCACAAAGCAGCTAATTCAACTTTTTAACTGAGCATTTTCTAATTGCTGTTTCCCTAAGGATCTACCTCTATTTCTCTACTTGTATTTATATCAAATTTTCATCTCAAACCTAAAAGAATGCTGAAGTAATTGTTCTACCAAAAATAAACTGCAAATTCAGGGTATAAATCAAAGATGAAAGTAATGCATCCTTGAGCTTTCTTTGGTGATGGAACAGGATGCCATACTGGAGAAGCTCTTCTTGTGCCTGCGACCTACAACCCCCTCTGCTCACCTCCTCACTGCTGCTCTTAGCAGGATATGCTTTATTGGCCATATATATAACCTCTCCTAGCATTGTCTTCCTGCTTGCCAGCCTGTAGACACCTAACATGTAGTCCACCTAGGAAGTTTTCAGTCTGCTGTCCTGCAGCCTGTCTTTGCATATGTTGCCCTCACTGATGAAAACTTTCTGGAACAGAGACAACCTTTCCTTTAGCCATTCATTGGCAGAGGGACTTAATTGTGAGAGTGGAGCAAAGTTCAGCCAGCCTTTCAATCTCCACTTTATTAAATACAGAAATAATGCAATTCATCATGTCCCTCTCTATCATTATGTTGCCAGATTCTAGCCCTTTTTCAAGAGGTAGATAAACATGTAGCAGAAAAAGAATATCAGGTCTACTGACAGGTTCTAACAGGTTGTTACTGTCATGCTGAATGCTGTATCAGCTGGGTTGAATCCTTTTGATACATTGAAGGCAGGCAGGGGAAACTGTGCACTGAAACCATTAAAAGGAAGGCAGTGCAAAGTGAGAAGGAAAAGCAAACAATTATTTTAGAAAGACTGACAATGGACTAGAAGAGGAAAGGGAAAATGGAGAATGTAGATACTACTTTACTGAGTGCGGGGCTGCTTTCTTGCTTCCCCTTGACAGTTTCTTCTCACATTTTCTGGCAAAAAAAAAAAAAAAAAGGAAAAAAAAAGCCAGTGACAGCCCTGCAACTGTTCTGAAAGGCTGTTTCAGAAAAGGAAATCTGCATGGTGGAAACTGAATGTACACAGAAGGCTCTTCTTTGTGAGTAACATTTGAAACCCACCAACAAATCTGACAGCTCTTCTAAGAAATGAATTGAAGTTGCATCCTCCTGCATTAATATTGGCCTCTGTTCCAATCCCATTTCTTCTTTTGGACAGGCAACAGTAGAGAATTCCTTCTCCTACCATTATCTGCAACGACAAAGAAGCTCTTAATTTAGATGTAGCAATTACTCATAAGACAGCAGTAGAATTTAAAGGGCTGAAATATTACTCGGACACAACTGATATTTTCCACTGACACGTACATTCCTTGAAAAGATGTGTATCAATATGTAAACATTCAGTAACGCAATTTAGCCTGTGTGAGGGCAACAAGAAAGTGGCACTGACATTAAATCCAAGCACCATAAAGTTTTGAAAGGAGACCTTTTCTTTTATTAATATGTTTGTGTAAAGCTCTCAGTGGAATCGGAGCCTTGATCCACAGCAAAAATTGGATTCTTCTACAGTAAAAACATAATGATCAGCACTTCTTGCCTTTCACGTGATCCAGAACCACAGCAATATCTTAACTCTTCTTAAGGTGGTTTTAGCCATCAGTTTTGGCCTCATGCCTGGTATTTACTGTCAGCTTCTAATTATGTGGTAGCCTACTCTTCCATAATTATTTAATTTGGCTTGGATTTTAACCAGGTCCACAGCAGTAGAATAAATTCTGTCCTTATGCTCTGAAAAGAGATCATGACTTAAGACACAGGCAATTGTAAACAGAAATAAGAAGAATATAAGTGAAAACACAGTATTAATTGCTGGAAAATGTGGATCTATTTATAGTTTTGCAGTCTCAGGTTTTATTGTTTTTCCTGTTAAGTATTGCAGCTTGAAAATCGTGCGGGGCTTGTTAGAATTCAGAAAAAAATGATGTGTTGAAATATTCAAATGGAGGGGGAAGTTCTCACCACTACGAGAAAAAGTCATAGTCTATCAGCAGATGAGAAGTAACGTAGGCTTTGCACAGGGCGTACAGTACAATTAAATGCTAAAGCATCTGAATTCAGAAGAGTCTGACATTGTAGTGATCCATGTTTCTGCACACTAAGATCTCTCACTGGCATTTCCTGTGCTTTATGAATACATATAGAAAATTTCTCAAATCCCACAAGCCGTAAGACATATGCCAATAATACACGTGGTAATTTTCTGTATTATTTTTGGGCTACAGTACAGATCTGGTTAAAAGCAGTTGCTACTCATTAATAATGTATCACCAAGCTGCTCATATTCTGACAAGAGTTTCCGTTCTGTTGAAATCATCTTCTCCCTTTGGATGAGCCATTAAACCAGTCTCCTGTCTGCTCTTAACAACTAACTCTCAATTCAGATGTGTCCCAGTGCAGTTTGGGAGAATGAAATTGAGTTCACAGACAAGGCTGATACACCTTACTGAGCAAAGCTAGTTCTAAAAAAAGTGATATGTTCAGTGCAGTAAACTTAAAGCTGCCAATAAAAAAAAAAAAAAAAAGTGATCTTTTAAAGTGTTGTATCAGTTTCTTATGATACTCTGTCTGTAAACAGTTATTAATATTGTACAGCATTAATGAATGATTATAACTATTTTCACTCAACTGTTGATGCTTTTTCTTAACTTAGTGCCTGCAGTTAGGATAGTGTAAATGAAGTGCTACAGGGAATGCTCTAAGAGCTGTGCATCTCCTTTTGCTATAGGAGGATAAAACTGAATTTAAATTCCTAAAGTAATTAGTTTGGGTGATACCTTGCAGCCTAACTGGAGACAGAGCACTTACTTTCTTTATGCCAACTGGAACCCTGTTCAAAATCTTCAGTAACTAATGGTGCATCTCAAACTTACCGTAATTGATGGTCCAGCAAAAACCAGACTAAGCAACATCAAAAAGGGAACTGCTTCTTGTGTAGGTTCAATATATGGCATACTCAGACTCTTGTCATAGCAATTAAATCCAGAGTGAACTGGCTTGAAGACATCAGTAAGTTCAAGAAAATACAGGCTAACAACAGAAGACGCCAATATGGGCAACTAGAAATGAAGAAAACAAAAAATTATAGAATAGCATTGTATTTGCAGAGACAACATTCTTAATAAATCACTGTAATGTTTGCTGTTTACATCCCACTGCTCCTTACTATATTTGTTTTACCTTCTATAAATAATCAATTCTCTAGAGATATTATACTGTTCAGTTGATATCAAGTAACTCTGTTGTCTACCAAGCTATTTAAAATACCCATTCCAATTTTCAGCCCACATAATTCAGCGTTTTCATCCATGAATCATTAATGGACAGGCTTTAAATTTAATTTTGTTTTTAAAAGTAAGTACAGTAGTGCAATCTCCTCTGTGAGGTGTCAGCTTTCTGCTGTTCATCCTCACCCTTTTTGGTAATTTAGTTGCCATATATATGGCAGTATTTATACCCAAACCAATTTTTATTAAGATTCACAGTAAAATTTAAAGAAAAATACAAGATAATAGAGTGTTTTGCCTTGGTACATTCATTTTGTAATTCCATCAAAAAGCAATTACTTTTGATAAGATTCAGTCTGTGTAGAATATGATGACTGTATTCACAGTTCTTTTATCCTCTAGCTACCAGTGAATTTAACTTTCACAGTTGCTTACAGTAATTTATTAAGACTTTAGTTAGCTTTCCTGGGATAAATTTACCCCAGCTTACCACTATCTTCTGAAAACACAGATGCAACCAGTAATTCTTACAAGAGAAGCAATAGCAAAAAGACCTTTTGAAGCCATTGGGTGACAAATGAGTAGATAGGGCAGCCCCTTCCCTAGGATGGCCAGTGGGAAGGGTGACTAGTAGCATGTGCGATTTCTCTGCATCCTACTAGTGAATGCATAATAAATGATCAGAATTTTTGTTTGTTTGTTTATCATTTTCCAGAGTTCTCAGTCAACAGGGCAAGGTTGCAGCCAGTACCTGTGCCTCCTCTGCAATTCAACGACTCCCTTCGTGTCTGTAATAATTAAGGTACCTATGGATAATGTTAACTGCCTGTCTGCTTTCTTTCCTCTTTTATTTTTATTTTGGCTATCACATTAACTTTTCCTTTTTATTAACTGCTGCTGAAAAGGAGAAGTTTGAAACCACTGAATAAATTTGCTAAGACAGATAGAATAATAACAATCAGATAAGGCTATATCATACATCTTGAGAAAAAAATACTTCTCTTTTACATCAAGCACCTCACATTGAAAGGAATATGAACTCTCCTGACATCATTTCAGGCATTATGAAACTATATTACCATTGCAGTCTTCAGTATTTACAAACAATTAAAATTGATTGCATGATTAAAATTGGTATCATTTATCCCATTCTATATTAACATTAAAAAAAAGTGATAAAACTGGATAAATATGTGTACTGGAAAAACGATGAATAAAAACTTAAAAAACTTAAAAAAATGTAAACTATATACAGCAGAGGGACAATGATTTCTTGCATTCCTTAGCTATTTTCAGGTTTTCAAACCTTGTGATTTCTAAATGTAGAGTTTTTGTACATAAAATGTGATTTTGTTTGGTTATGGAAGAAGGATACTTGCTAAATTTCTCTGAAACAGACTTTTTAGTACACCTTAGGATCTGTTTGAAGTGAACAGATTCTGCTATCACCAACAGTGTTCTTCTGAACTGAATCTTCTGAAGGTGAAAAACAGAAAATTTTGTCTGCCACATTATCTTTGCTCACGTTGATCCATAGTAATCTTACCTAGGTAGAGAAGCTGTGATTGCATAGCAGGGGAATGTTTATTGGCACCCTAAGTGAAGCTAAGTGCTACGAACACTGAAAAAATAAGACTAGGCATCTAATAAGTTTGCTTCAATAAGTAGTTTATGTATAGTTAATATATAGGTATACTTAACAGTTGGTCTTGTTGATCCTTGTGGGTCCCTTTGAACCTGAGATATGCTCTAACTCTGTGATATGTGCATTGAAATACCATATTAAAATATATATATATACGATGTGTAACGTAGTAAATACACAAAATGTAACGTTGAAATATATATAATAATAATGTGGATACATGTCATAGAGCATGACATACATTTACTTCAGTTATGTTGGAATAATTATATAAAATGTAACTAAATTGAGTTCTGCTTCCTACTCATTACAGGAAGATGTCTGATTCTTTAGCTGTATGAATAATTCCTTGATTCTCACTTCCTGCTGGATGTAGTCCCTATTGACTGTACTGCAGACCTGCATGATTAGTTACCATGACTGTTTCTAGTCATTATAAAGGTGTACAGAGATAAAAGAGGACTTCCCTAAAGTCTTTGTGCTTCCCATTTTTTTGTTTGTTTGTTTGTTTTGTGGAACTGTACAGAGACTGTGCAATTATTTGTGATAAGGTGACTCCTGTACAGAAGGACACTTCCCTGGTGTGTGGGGTCTTGTACAGTCTCTCTTGTTCTTCCTTGTATATTGAGACTGCAAAGCATTTGAATTCATGCACACAGCAATTTCAGTTCTGCACAGCATTTCACTGTTAAGGTATTTGCGATGTCTTTTATTATTACCTATTTGAAAGTCATACCTAAATGGCTTGGCCAGAGTCAGGGTCCTAGTGAGCTAAATGGCCAAAATGGAAAAAAAAAAGGTCCAGTACCCTTCTGATGTCTCTTCATCTAGGCTTCCCAACAGGTTAATTTCCTATGGTAGAAATGCAGGGCAGGAAGATGCATGAAACACCTTGCACTCAGAGTTTCATCTTCAGCGAGTAATCTTCCTTTATTCTGACATCAAGAAAAGGAAAGCCTCTCCTGAGCAACAGGACCCTAACTTACCCATAAGTCCATCTCTGCTTTGGTTATGGTATTCTTAGGCAAGCAACTGTTTCAAGCAGTAATACTGAACAATCATAAGTAGGTGACATCTGAAGTGACATGTTATTGTGAATCACTGAAATACGAGATGCAGACAACTTTTTTTTTTTAAGTTGCTGTATGTTAGCTGCAACCATATTGTCAATTACAAAATTTAAGGAATCGTGACAATCCATTTAACTGTCTTACAGCTCCACTACAGGACTCGTATATTATTTCTGACTGTAATTAACCACTCTTCTAAAAGAAAAGAAATAACTCTGAGGGACTATGAATCCCCAACATAACTGCTTACAATTCTAATGAATAGGCTATAGTCAGTTTGCTATATACAGTATGTCAAATCCCACAGGAGATTTTTCCTCCTATCTTCTTTAAACTATTAATATAAAATTCATTTTAAAAAAAGGCCAGAGAAAATTGAACATTTCTAAAACCTACAAAACAGTATAAGTGGCTATTTAATGTATGAATATTTATGGACTGTTCTCCTTAAGGCAGCAATAGTTCCATAATTACAGACTTCAGCTCCCAACACCTTGAAAATGCCAAATATAATTAAGATGTTATAATGTGTATTGTTTTAATTACAAAATGGAACAGGAATTTTCCTATTCCTAAGCAGAAAAATAAGCTCCCCATACATATACTCCATATATATGCTCCTACTTTCTTGATTGGCTATTGGGATAAGATCCTTGTTTAGCGTGTAGATGAATAAATATATCTGTAAATGTAGAGTTTGACCCAAATGGCCAAATTCCCTTCAGCATGTGAGGGAGTCAGGACTGTAATCAGCATAGTAATCAGCACTGCTGCTGAAAATAGTCTGATTTGGAGATTTTTGGTTGTTGTTTTTTCTTTTTTTAAGTAGTATTTCTCCTTTTCATTTTGTAATTTTTCAACAATTAGAAGGCTTTATTAAGCATTAATACTAATTCATTCCAAAGGCCTTGCTAGATGTAGTATGATGTTGATGATTTCTTCTTTATCTAGGATGCAATTGGGTTCATTTTTATGTTTGCAAATACTCTTTCACATCTTGCTTTTCCTCTTCTTGATCTGTGTGTTTGTATTACATCCCTGTGGTTTACATGGTTTACATTGTTTTTGCACTTTGTTACTGTTAAATTAGTTTTAACAGTTTCCACTTCTTTATCTGACCACTGGCGGAGTTGTTAGCAACCAATACCAACATATGTCCCAACTCCTTGTCCTACATCTGTACTTCCATATGTTGTACTCTATATAATGCAGGAATAATAACAGACATCTTGCAAACGAGGCCAAGCCTTAGTGGGGAAATCCTCTTATTGGAGTGAATCATAGAATCATAGAATGCTCTGGGTTGACAAGGACCATAATGATCATCTAGTTTCAACCTTCCTGCCATGGGCAGGGTCGCCAGCCACTAGACCAGGCTGCCCAGAGCCACATCTAGCCTGGCCTTGAATGCCTCCAGGGATGGGACATCTGTCTCTGAATAGCATGAGGTGGTCCTTTGGGCAGCTAGGCATCTAGGGCATTCAGTTTTGCCTCTGACCTTCCGACAAACACACTCTCATTCCGAGGGAAACATTGAAGTGTTTGCTGTGGAGTTAAACATAGGATCTTTACTATTCCATGGAGTCTCTACAAAGCTCTAATTTCTAATTGAAGGAGATTTCGAATCCTCCCCTTGGAGAATTCCCAAATGATCAATACTTCACTGTAATCAGGTTTTCTCTGCAAGTGTCATAAAAAGTCAGTGGGAATTAGATATTGATAGCGTCCTAAATAACACAATTGAGACAGAGAGACTCAAACAAAAAAAAAAAAGGTGCAAATAAGTATTACCCTCTACTCCCATCCCTATTTCTACTCTACATTAAAAGAATATGCAATTGGATACAAACATTATTTAAATCTCTATGAAAATTAGTAGATTCTACAAATTTTCTTTCCCTAAAACTGCATGCTTGTAGTTACACATCTAATTTTCACTTTTGCCAGCACGTAACTAGGCAGAGTCTGTATGTATCTTCAAGAGAATATCTTCAAATCCATGAGCTTTTCTGAGAGTGTAACCAAGGAGTATCACACACTCAGATGGTTAAACAAACTCTCTGGGATGCAGCTTTATGACCTTTTTTTGCCTTGCTTAAATGCATTACAGGTATTATTTACAGGTATTACCTCTTTTCATGAACATCCAGATCTTGTCTTGTATTAAACTGTGTTAGTGGCTACCAGCAGACATTTTGAATATAAGTTACAAACATGATTAGCATGGGCTATATTTCAGTCAAGCAAATTGGGAAAAAATGAGATGCCTCTTGTGCATTAATAGGTAGATACTGATGTTTTGGTGCAGTGTGATAACCAGAATGATTAAGTGATTCTTTGCGAGACAGGATGCAAGCACAAAGGCTGTGGAATTTATTTGTTTTACCTGACTATGTATGACAGGCAGAAAAGAGAGCAGCAGGATCTGAGGAACCGAGCCACAATTAGCCAGAAGTGGAATAAAGACAGTATGGCTATCACACATGTCAGAGTGCATTAAGGGGCACTTGGTAGGATACTTGGATATATTTGGAAATAACTTCTAGACTCAGGTGGCCAACGAATTCTTCCGTTGTTAGGTTGTTCTGCAACTCTTCCACAACAGGCAAAGAATTCCTGAACACAACGGCGGCCTTTTGGTATTTCTGTTTTCTTTCAATCAGGTGATCAGGAAATCTGTTTAGGCAAACAAGTAAATACACAGAGGATTGCCACAGAGATATGACTAATGAATGCCACCAGTTTCTCATTAAATCAATAGCAGACAAGCATTTGGAAGAATGATGGTCTATTTAATAATTACATTGTTTTCACTGCAAGGCTGTGGAACTGTGGGAGATTCTATTAAACTGTATTATAAATGTCAGTCCTCATGATAAGGACTTCATGGTCTAAATGATAAGGCACAGTAGATGGATGAGACAAAGAGAGGGCTATGGTGGGGTGGAGGAGGCAAAGTATGTCTATTCTTAGCTAGCTGCCAACAGTGATTGCAGCTTTCAACCTCTGTGGCTGTTGTCCTGTTGTACTTTGCTGAGAGCTTCTTGAGACAGAAGGACAGGTTTCTTTTATCCTGTCAGGAATGAA